GTTATTTAAAAAGTTGCAACTGCAAATTTTGTTACTGCAGTGGATATGAAATATTTTTCCAATAAAATTATCATATGTTCCATAAATAGTTGAAGAATTTCCTACTGGAAGTGAATCGTTGTAATAAACATCACTTAAATACTAATAAAGTGTCTATAAAATTCAAAAGTTTTTCTTACAAAAAGAGAAAATATATGATACAAGTAAAAAAGTAATGAGCCAATGTACGTAATCATCAACATTTTTCAATAAAAATCTCTTTGCTGTTTTGATATCCATATTTTGCCAATGGAACATTTTAGATTTTTGTTATAATTTTGAAGTTTTGCCATTTTCAACTTTTTAAATTGGATTTACATCTATTTATAAAACGATAAGGATTCGTTAATGGCAGGCAAACCATTTCAATACTACTTAATTAATTTTTTCAATATATTGTTCCTCTTTTTCAGAGGAGACAACATAATTTTTATTATTCATTCTTTCCAATGTTCAGTTGTATCTTTATAATATCCTCGGTATGCAATACTATTGATAATTTTGCATCAAATTTCAAGGAGTTTGCCCGTTATTTTTGGGAAACCTTTTCAATTATTTATATTCTATAATAACTTTTCGATTTGGAGTTTATGAAACTCATATATGTTTACTTTAAGAATACTAACCTTAGATTGTAAGTTTGATTAACCTTGTGTTTAGTTTGTGTATTGTGCGTGTAGTTTTTTTTTTAATGTTTGTCTTCAAGATGAATAGAAATAAGTTCATGTTTTAGGATTAATTAAATATTTGTATAATAAATCATATTTCAAACCTCCTTCTCCCTTTCCCCATCCAAAAAATTGTAAATCTCCACTAACCTCGAGACGACCGCGAGTAATCGGTTCAATTCCTTTAACTCTAGATTTAAGACATTAATCATGTATAATGCAAATGATAACTCGGCTCTGTAAAGTTTATTCGATTGAGCCTGTACAAATAAATTAATACAAAAAAAAATAACTTTTCGATCACCTAATTGGACATTTTGAATTCTAATGAAGGTGAGACAATGAAAAATGTCTTCGAGAAACCTTGCTATAGATTAAATGTTTCTGTTATGGTTAATTTGAGATTATTTATTCTTTTTTACCCAGTAATAAAACATAAGTTAAATTTTATAAAGCGTAATGTACGGACAATTTACTAATAGCACTGCACATGTATTTTTATAATCTAGAAGAACCTTTCATCAATTGTCATCCAACGTAGCTTGACGTGTTTTGCATGGTTATAGCTGCAGCCATTACCGAAGTTTGCCGAGTATTTGCTGTTGGCTTTTTTCTCCTTCGTTTTTTTTTGCGAAGTATAGGTTTACCTTGGACTCTGCGGGATACTGGGAAACGGGTGAACTAATAAAGTGGGTGATGCAAAGAGTTTTGGATCGAGGGCGGGGGCGGAAGAGGGTTTAGCAACATCACAAACACAAGACGATATTTCCTCGTTTTGCACAGCCAGCGCGCGATCGCAACTACGGAAACTAAGGTGAACAAACGTGAGAAAGGTGACACAACACACGGTGAAATCAGACAGAACGTAAAATGCAAAATGAAAGAAAAAAATAAACCTGAAGAATAACTAGATCAAACTCTCGAATCGGGAAAGGGGTGATTTGAGGACGGATGCTGAAAGAATCGTGTAGGGGTGGGTTGTGGTGGTCGTTCGGAGGAAAGGTGAGATTTATCGATTTCATATCAAAACGGAAACCAGAGAGGAAGGATTGAGCAGGTGTGATGCAATGATAGGTATCGGGGAAATTGGCAGTGAAGTAAAAATAAATCGGAAAAGAGTTGTTCGGAGGAAATGGTGAAAATAAAAAGAACGATGAGAAGGATAACATAAAAAGAAACGCTTGAAAGAAAATCATTTTGCTTTTCCTTTATTAGTATGATTGCATTGCATTGCACTCTCGTGGGTGTACGACATTATATTACTCGGCTGTGACAGATTGCTTAATTGGTTAGTAAACGTGAATGGATGGATTAGTAAGCTTTCCGTTCTCTCTCGTTTTGGTTTAGCGAATAACAATTCACATTCAGAGGGTGAGATGAAAATTTTGATATTTGGTTTATTTCATTCTTTAAAATGTGATGCAAGGAGGGTAAATGAAAACTAGAGAGGTTAAAACAAATCTAACTAAAGCTTAATATAAATAAAATAAATTAACAAATATCTTTAAACGTTAGTATACTCAAATAAAACCTGAATAAATCTTTGATAGGACTCGATTAAGTTATCCGATTGAAATCAATTGACAAGATATAATTTTGCTAGTTTTTTAATCGTAATCCTTGACTTGGAAATATGAAACTACTTGGTGGTGACCGTTGCAAGTAATTGACCGTAGTGCGAAGAAATGTATTCGAAACAAGTTCATAACTAATTCTTTCATATCTACACAAAATCTAAATATATAGAAATCTTTGTTCGCGCAGCTGGAAGCTCTGATTATACAAGCGCTGTTTTTATTCTTCTTATTCTTCTTGTTGTTCCACAGTAATCCGAATCTGCCAGTTGTGTAACGATATTTCCTCCATTCGCTGGATCATCCTAATAAGCTCGTGGTGTCAGGTTGGATTTTCTACCAACCAAGTAACGTTCGCGTTCCGCCAAATACAGAGGAATAATTTAATTCGAACTTGCTCAGAAGCGACTAATGATGCGGCTGCTGTTATTTGCTGTTCGTCCTTTTTTATTGCTCCAGATACGACTTTTTCCCAGAGTGCGCTTCCTCTACGAGCGATATCGCCCAGGACTGCCTCGCTTTGCGAAAGGAACTCGGCAAGTGGCGTAAAAGCTCCCGCCTGGAATAAACCACCTACACATTTTGGGTTGAGTATTCATTTGCCGGTGAAGATGAATATCGCGTGCCGCGGCCAGGACCGTTCTGCTGTTGGTGGTTGTGGTGGTGCAGTAGAGTAGTGTGCGGTCGGTTGATTAATGGCCTTTTCATCATTATTTTTTATGGTTTTCGCTGGTTTTTTTTTCTTCTTCTTCCTATCCCGTCGAAGATTGTACGCTACGATTGGAAATCTTTACCACAAATGGCTGATTGGAGCTCGTTATGTTCGGGCTGTAGGAATTAAAGTGTTCTAATTAATCGATCATTGTGTTTTGTCCCCTCTTACGGAGCACCATGGACCATCAAATGGTAGAGAAAAAAAAACGGTCATATTTTGTTCAGATTAGGTTGATTACATAATAGACCTGTTCATATTTTTGTATTATTTTCTGAAATATCATTAAATAATAATTCTATGAATTTAAAACATAAACCGAAAACCATTGCTGAATATTTAAATCTTTGAAAAGCAGTATAAGAATTGCAGATCGGACAGTTCTATTCATTGTATTTAATCAAATGCAACTGTAGAATACATGTTTCAGGAAATAGCCTTTAGATTCGTTCTACACTCAACACGGCATTACTTGTGATTCTCTCTTACATACAGGCCACTTCAAACAATTTTTCATGTACGTCAAATGTAGGAAAAATCAAATTTTTGACCGTTTTGTTCGTTTTGCAACATTTTTTTTACTGACCAGGGAAATGTGGAATACCTACACGGCCTATGAATCCGACTAAAATATAAGATCCGCTTTCTCAAATTTGCATAAACTGAGTAAATTTTCCTTCGATTTTCTTCATGTATCTGCGTGATTAAGAGGAAAATTTAGAAAAAAAACTATTTAGTTTTCGAGTAGGGACTATACTTTCCTAGTATGGTATGTTCCAATTATGGTCTATAGAATTCTCATATGCCATAACTGGAGCACACCATAATAAGAACGTATGACCATATCCTATATTCATAGACTGATTCAAATTTTCTTCGATTCGAGTAGATGTTTGAGGAAAATCCAGGAAAATATACTCAGTTTATGTGCGACCTGCGTTTTTGCGAATTTAAGTAAACGGAACTAAAAAAAATGAGTCAGATTCAATGGTAAGAAATGGAAAAGCGTACATAAGCCTGTAACTTTTCCAGGGTCAAATTTTTCTTTCAAAACTTCAATTGCATAATTTTCTGGGTTTAATGCTTGTATAGGCGGGAATGTATATACTTCATAAAAGTAGCAATTAGATTTATTTTACACCATTATTTGAAAAGTCTTCTGACGACTGCATTTCAGAATCTGTTCATTTGGTGATTCCTTACAGGTTCGGTTAATTTTTAAACAAAACTGTAAGATAGTCTTACATTCCTTGGTTGGATAATGTTGCTGGATGGTTAATATTTCAACAGAAATCTGCTTGAAAATTAATTTCCTAGTCCCATAGAATACTTCTTTAAGTAATTATTACTTTTTTATAAGGTACGGGATAGTATCACATGTAACTTTTTTCAATGTCCTAGAGTATTTATCGTTGATTATTGTTGAATCGTCCATGAATTTCTAGGTAGCGTATTAATGTCTCGTATTAATCTAGGACTACTCATACCAGAATGAGTGATAGAATTATTGAAATTTTAAAAATCTCCAGCTAGATTTCAATCTTGAAAACTTTTCATGTTCCAGAATCTAGAAAACTTATCCATATTTTGGGATGTAAGATTCAAGATATTACATTTTTAAAAGTCTAGGAAATCTTAAAGACTTTTATTAGATTGATATCGTGAAAACTTTTCTGCGTATTCAGAATTACCGTGGATTGCATCCACATATTCTATGAAATGCTCTCTGGAAACTCGTTATTGAATTACCTTGTAATTCTTCTCGGAATCGCCTACGATTTTTTCGCATAGTTCCTTTTGAATTCTCAATAGAATTATGAAATTCTCTGCTACACGACCAACTCCAACAACTCAGGGACTGAATTCAATTGACTCAAAGCATTTTCTTTCCATACGAAATTTACTCATATTTGGAAAAAAAAACTGCAGTTACTCATTAACTATGAGTTACATAAATTAACTGTGACCAGTAATTTAATCTATTGTAGTATGTCCAATGTCTATAGTTTAGTGCAGGTCGTATTACTCCATCACTATTCTGTAAAGAGGAAGTATTCGGTTTTGATACAGTTTCCATTCATGCATATAACGTAAGAAATCGATTCTAACTGTACGGTCCAGCTATTTATACCCTTCGAAAAATGAGAGCTCCCTCCAAAGTCGCACCCTTTTGTTAAACAAAATCGAATTCTTTGGCGACAATATCAAGCAAGGACACCGATATTGACTATGCACCCTACTTTAAATTAGAGAACACTGAAGGGTATCCGGTGTTGTTGGTTTGCATAGATGGGCACATCCTTCGCGACAATTCCGAGGCTCCATCCCTTCAAGAGATAATAGTAGCTATCCGAAACATGAAATCCAACAAGGCTACAGAGATCGATAGCAGAGATGCTTAAAGTTGACCCCATGCTGATCGCACAAAGTGTTTAATTAATTATTCTGTAGTATCTGGGGAACTGTATGTTTTCCTATAGACTGAATGCAGAACTTCTATGTGAAGTTCCAAAAGAAGGGGGATTTTACTGTGCGTGACGATTGGGATGCATCGTTATTGGGAGAGTTTCTGCATTTGGTATTCAAAAAACGAAAAATCATTCATACGAATCAATCACGAGAATCTCTGGGCACCCTGAGACGCAAGAGAGTGCCGGATAAAATTATAAATTTTCGAGCAGAGCCCTGCGCCTAATGAAGTCATGTCCGGGCTTATCCGATTAGTCGCTAGCATGAAGCAAGGCTGTACACTATCACTGCTACTACTCTTTATAGTAATCGATGAGGTCATGGTAGAATCATGTATTGAATCGTAAATTAGCCTATCTTTATGGAGCATCTAAGCTACTTTGAATTGACTGAGGATGTTGCATCAATAGCACACAACGGCACTGATATATAGAGTCAACAAGGCCAATTTGCTGGCGCTTTTAGTTTGAATTTTGTATAATATACATGAAGAAAGGGCACTCCTACACTCAATCGATCATAAAAAAGTTTCCTTGTTCTCGATTTGATTCAGATTTTCAAAACTTGTAGTTCAGTTAATTAGTAACAACTTAGCTGAAGATTGCAATCCAGTTAGTTTTATTGAGGTATTCGCTTTTGAATGTATATGAGCATTTTGTGTATGGAAATTTCAACCAAATCTTCTACAAGAACATTAAACCAAAAGCGTCAGCCCGTGTAAAGTTAAAAAGAGCTGAAGCATTCAGATAGTGGTTATTGCATCTAAAGACACGAGCCTGGATGTTGGCCTGTGCAAAATTTGAACTTTTATATTTAGTGGTAATCTAGTTTATATGTTGCAGATACAGGCAGCTGAAGTTTGCTGAGCCAGTTCTATACACGAAAGGGTGAAGGGATATTATTTCTTCATACATTTCAACCAATATCCTCATATAAATTTTAAATCAAAAGCGCCAGCTCGTGTTACATCGGAATGAGCTGAAATTTTCAGAGAGTTTTTTTTTCACCTAATGGCACAAATCTAGGGGTTGGCCCTTGAAAAAAAAATGATAAAATTTTCCCTCGATATACTGCAGTAATGTTTTTAAATTCTTGTGTTCAGAAACATTTCAATTGGTTATCGTACGAAGAAGATAATGATCGAAGTTCAGTGGTTTATACATAATCTCAAAGTTTCCTAATAAATAGTTTTGACGAAGCCTTCCTAGACTAAACATGGTCGTTAGTGGAATTCTTCGTTAAACAATTTGAGCACAGTGCAGCGGATGTATAGAAGCGTTGTCTTTCCCTCAACGACAGAGAAAGAGACACTGCCACTGTCTTGCTTAAGAGAAAAACTTGTTATGACTTTGTGAGGAAACATTTCTTGAATATGCTTACTGGGTGCCGCAAGCTCCTGTAACGAAGATTGAGAACGTTACATCGGATTCCTTATCCTTTGTGGGTGGGCCACGCTGGGCACAGGGAATGATGCAGTGGGTATTTTCGATTCAAAGTGAGTTATTTTGCAATTACGAAATTATTCTTTAACGAAGATAATCGACAGCTGGGCTGAGGCATTTTGTATTGAATGTATATTGTAGAAATGGAGAAGATATTTATTGATTAGCAAAGCACTTTTCGGTCGTTTAAGATTTCAAACTTGAAGGAAGTGGCCACCATTGAGAAGTTATTTATTTTTTATTATCAGGTGGAGGGTGGTTCACTGCTGGTTCGTAGATGTAATAAGCGAGGACAAAATTAAATTTCCCTGGTCAGTTTACGTTTGGGCCATTAAAGTTGAGAGTACCATTAGCACCGGCTGCTGGCAGTATGCTTTTAATGCTTACGCCAAAAAGTAATTAATTAAACTTTACAAACAAACTTCATCGTAACAGTATAAAATTCTCATCTTAAGCAACTCCAACTTTGTAGCAAACTCTGTTACGTAAAAAGGATAAATCCGAAGCGCTTATTTACAAACATGTACACTCACTTGTCGTTGATAATACTACTAACTTTCATCTTTGGGATAACTAACTTATGCACTATATATGTATAGACTGTTCGAGTGTCTCTCGTCTTACATACTAATTATTGTCGTTACCACATTATGTTCCACATGTGAAAATCGATTTCATTTTGAGTCGTAGGATTAATTGTGTGCTTTGCTCGAGCAGCTACGCCTATAAGTACATCCGATGCGATATGTTCAGAGAATATGTGATTGCAGGGCAAGGTTTAATTTCCTGCTAACACTCGTACTCCAAGACGAGCTCACCACGCTGTTTGTGCGATTTGGAGACAATTACCCGATGCGGACCGTAACTGCTTAGGAAGCTAGGATTAACAGTTCCACTGGCTTGCGAGAGCTTTACAGCAGTGCCTCTGCTAAAGGATCTGGAGCTTGTCAGAAAATCCTTCTGGCTGAAATCATTTGTGAAACTGTGCGCTCGGCTTCGCCCTGCTACACGGTCGTTATAGTCATGGCTGACGATGACATCCCGCGCAATTTTTCCGCCACTATCGCCATCGTTATCACCATTTGGGTTACCATCGTCGTCGCCGTCGTCGGCGTCCTCATCGTTGTCGTCATCATCGTCATCATCGACACCATTGTCATCCAGAGAATTGGAATCGTCATCTTCATCATCAACGTCATTGTCGGCGTTGTCGACGACGTGGCCTCGTTCGTTAACGGAAATATTGTTTCTTAGAGTCTCGTTATCGATGATTGTATTTCCGTAGTGATATGATTGATTCGGAAAGTATTCCAGCGAAGAATCACAATTGCTCTCGATGGTACCGGAACTTGCACCACTTCCTCCTTTCGATTGTACCGGTTTGAATCCAACTGCAGCCGCTGCCGCTGCTGCTCGTGTGCTTTGATAGTGCTCCAGATAATCCTCTTGATATGTTAAATCAGCCTCAAGTGGCGACTGTCGATGGTGCCATCGACGTGGATGTTGGCGCTGTTGAGTGTGATTATGGTGGTGGCGGCGATGATGAGGATTGTTATGTTGCTTCCGAAACTGTGCCGGATCACGTGTTGCTCGCTGCTGTCGATGGGTTGACGATGATGAATCTGGGTATAGGTTCTGCTGCGATAGACGTGGCAGCTGAAGGGTGGACGCATTATGAAACTCATGTGGATAGAACTCTGGGTCTTGGTTGTGGGAGCGTTCGATAGGAATTGAACAGTTGGAGGAATTGTTATGAATTTGGTGTGATTTATTGGCTCGCAGCGAATAATAGCTACCATCGTCTAGCACCAACAGGTCTAGGTTGGAGTCATTTTCTTCGGTTCTACTTTTCGAGGGACGTTTTGGAGAGTACTCGATAAAGTCACCTCGTTCGCCGCAGCAGCGCAGTGTTTCCTCGGGCGTACCAATCAGCTTCAAATTTTGAATTTTATTACCACTCGAGTTGTTGCCTCCAGCACCGGGGGAAGGTGCACTGTAAACGGAAGCGTAGTCACTGCTGCTGAGCGAACTAGAAGTGGTGTTACTCTTGCCACTTTTTTCTCCCGCCATCACCGGGCGTGCATCGTTGAACAGGTTCTGTTCGTTCGCCACCGTCGTCGTGCTAAAGTCATTTTCCATTTTAATAAGACTAGCTAATTTTGTTTTATTAGTTCTACTAGCTCTAGAACAGGAGGAAACTGTGTTGTTTTTGAGCTGTTCACTGTTGACTTTTTTATGTTCACTCCACGCGTCATCCAGTAGAATTAGGTTTTGCGTCCGTGCGTTATTAGGCTGCGGCATCAGCAGCGGTGCGGTTGTGGTCGATGCTGTCATCAGCATCTGGTCAAGAGTTTTCGAACAGGATTTTGCACGCTTGTGTACGTGGCGCGGACGCGTTGGTTTTCGCACTTTTTGTGCTTCCTGTTCCGGTTCGTTATCGAACGTTTCGTTGAGGAACGTATCCAGATAGGCCAGATTTTTCGTTAGATCCAACTCGGACTTGTAGCTTTTATATACAATTTTATTGCTAAGATTGGATTTTTCGTTTTCTTCGTACTTATGAGTGGCTTTTATCAAGTCATCCAAGTTGTATGAGCTGATGTAGTGGTTTCTTTTTTCCTTTGTGGTGCCAAGGAGCTTACATCGTTGACCGAGTTTCAAGATTTGTGTTTTAGCTTTACTAAAATATTTGTTTTCATTTTTCTGCCACTGAACAGGATGCAGTACCAGGTGAGGCTGACACGCTACTTTATTCGATGGCTGCTGGTTTTGCTCGTCAAAATGGGTGGTTTTATTGGGGAAGTTGAGATTTATATTTTTCAACTGGGGCATTTTGTCCTGCTTCTTGCGGGTGCCAAACGGCAGATGGAACAGATCGGCGTTGACTTTTGGTCCTCGCTTGCTAAATGTTGTTCCCTCGCCACCAGGTTCCGAGTAGTCCGAAGGGAAATCAAGCTCCGGCTGAGCATAGTCCTGGCGTTTGAAAAAACGTGTAGGTATGGCACTTTTATTTCTTGCATCATTGTTGCTACTGATTTCATGCTCCTCTTTCGATAGGCTCATTCGACCGTTATTGTCCTCTTGGTGGTAATTCCGGTAGGAGATATTGGATTTCCTTCGGATATGCTTTCTCGAGCAGTGGCTCAGTGTGCTGCTACTGCATGGACGTATATTCTCGTAATTGTTTTCCATTTTCCTAGCAGGAACTTGAATCCTATCTGCCGTCTTTTCTGCATCTCCGGTCAGATCATTCACAACAAAGTCTAGTTGGCTCTCGGGAACTGTCGAGTCGTTATCGAATATTTCCGACTGGCAAAATTCATCGCTATCATTGTTGTTATCTTTTCCACCTTCATTGCAGTACGACAATGACAAACTTTTGGTTTTGTAATTATTGCCAGCTTCCGCTGGCCTTTGCCTTTCGTTTACCCTTTCGATTTCCTTCTGCTTGCTCTCTGCAGTCGGATACTGTTGAATTCCGGTGTCACTGATAGAATTCAAATCATGCGTCACTGGTGGCTTCCGTTTGCTGTCCAATTGCTCTTGTGGCTGTTCAATGCTCTTTCCCAGTTGATGATAGATGCCCGTGCTGGAGTTGGCTTTAATTAAATTTCCCTTTTGCTTCTTCCCTTCTACACTATCATTACAGTTATTGTTGCTGTCATTGTTACTATCTTTGGTTGTGCACGCTACAGCGAAACTCTGCTCTGCTACATGCGACCTAGTTAGAATTAGTGAGTAAGATTTTTTAAAGTTCGTTTTAATTAAAAAGTTATTTTTATCTAGTTTATCTAGAAATCGATTGAATTTCTCCACACTATAATCACTTACTTTGAACAAGCGAATGCCACCACCATTCGTTTCATTACTGTCGTTAGATTTAGTCTGAGACTGATAGCTACTGGCACTGGCGATTGGTTCCGTTTGATCGCCTCGGCTAGGGGGACTAGTTGAGTCGGATCCGGGAACCGATCGGTCAGTGTTTGAAGCATTTTTCGGACTAGTGCTACCGTTACTGTTAGCGTCCACCAGGGATTCTTTTACCGTACAATCAGTCTCACTTGTGGGTATCTGCTAAACCCTTGTCGGTGGTTGTAATATCATAGCAGCCATTCGTACCTTCATAGCTTCCGGCGAGCCGGGCGTTCCGTTGTGATGATGATGGAAGCCGGTCGGAGTGGTATAGATGGAATCGAGCGGCGGTACGCTAGTGCTGTCGGATCGTGATTTCAGGTCCGCTTTTTCGCTGCAACGAGATGAACAGGAAAAAAGCATAAACAACGACTCTCTAATGTGTTTTCACTTGAGTTTTCCCCCCTCCGTGAACGCTTTATGAGTGTATGAGTGTGGCGATAGGCCACTAAAACTTGGCCTCTCGCGGCCATCTTGAAAAACGACTTGATGTTGCAGTTTTCAAAAAGGTATTTTTATATAAAAAAACATAATCGAATGGTAACCCAAATGGTTCAATTATTCTACAAATGGTTTGGATGATACCTGGAATACGTCGTTAAGCAAAATAACCATAACAATTTTATTAGGGATGGGAGAGAAGTTTTAAAAGTTTTTCGAATAAAGTACTTTAAATCGATTTGAGTGTTGCTGTGGGGTATAAAAAGTCGAAATCTACCTATTTGAACCAGTTTCATATATATATTTTTTTTAAATCTCTAATATTTAACATAATACGTCTACTGAGTAGCCCTGGAGTCTCTTTCCCCCGTAGAGTCATCGAAAACATAAATAAAAGCTTTATTTGATTAACAGAAGGATTTTAAAGTTTAAATCATATTCCTACTCGGGATTAATTTTCAAATCTGCATCATTAAGCTGTTTTACAAGATGGCCGCGATAGGCCAAGTTTTAATGGCCTATTGAAAAACTAGGATGTTGGAAATAAATGGAAACTGCGATCGGAGACCTAGTAGGCACCACAGTTCTTCCTGTTTGCGAGGAAGTTGCGAAATAGCACACTCGAAAGCGAAACTTGCTCTTTTCGACGACGTGAAAGTATATGAGTAAAAGGCAAAGGAAATGGATTTCCTAATGTGAGAAAAATTGTTAAATGCAAAAATGGAACACTTTCAACGGATAACTTTTACAATTCAATATATTTATGTTAATTATTCCCCGAGCGTCGAACACTTTTGAAGTGGCTATTAAAGAGAGTTTAGACTGAGCGGCATTATGCAGCTTGAAACAATAGGAGAATTTAAATTTGCATTTTTCCATCTTCTAGAAAAGAGCGGAGTAACTTTTCTGAACTGAATCGATTATTGTGACGCAAACGAGCCACTGGAATAAAGAAAAGAAAGTGGGTCTTGCAAGTAATTGTTGATAATCGATGCAAAATTTTGGTTTCATCCCTTATGGGGCCAATACAAACAGCAATCTGGTAGCACAACCGGTAAAATTTCACCATACAACGTATAGTTGAACCGTGTGGCATATGGTAAAACTATAGCGGATATACAACTAGATTGCTGTTTGTATTAACGCGATTAGTTGATTGACCCTAAAGCAGTAATAAACAATAGTAGCGTCGTAGTGGGGGTTTACTACATCTTTGACAAGAAAAAAAAATCTTACGTTTTCTTACGAGGAAGACAGGGAATCTCAGAAGAATACAGAACATGTTAATATTCGACGTTTGATCTTACTAAGCGGGAGCTGGGATAGAAAAATTCCTTGAAAAATCCCCAAGCTATGAAAATGATGCCACTTTCTCTCATTTATTGAAGTATTTGAGTGAAGAAACATATTATACAGCCAATTGAAATAATCACTTGAGGCTGATCGGTCACGCAAAAAGTTAATTTAAGTGTTAGGGGTAGACGGGTCAAGATGATCACCCTAAACTTGAAATCATAATAATTGCAACTATCCGTTTCTTTGATCTCTATGGAGCAATGTTGATGGATTATGTTTAAATATTTCTAAACTTTCAGCTACGTCTAGTTTCCAAGGCGAAGATACAGTCCGCAGGATATTAAGAGGAAGCTTACCGGCCCGAAAATAAAAAAATATTTTCGGCACATTTTTATTTCTTTAAAAATATTGGGAAAAAATAACAAAAATCAAAGCAAATCAGTTTGTTCCTTAGATTTTTGTCAAAAATTACATGTAATTTTTTTTTTCTATCTCATCATGAAAAAAAATTGGACTCTCAGCAAAACCGAAAAGTCGATGTTTTGTGGTTTTTTGAGTCCAACTTTATGCCATAATGACTTATAAAAAATGTTTTTGCACGTGAATTTTCTTTGAAAAATAAAAAAATATGTGATTTTCTTAGAATTTTGATATTTTTTTCCAATATTTTTAGAAAAATCAAAACGTAATTATTTTTTTCGGAGCGGTGAGCTTCCCCAATGTTTTCCTTAGTCAAATTGTGCCCTTTTGTGACGATATGTTCTGCAACCTTGGATTTAAATTCATAATGAAGTCCTTTATCCATCTCTTTGTTAGCCTTTTTTACCTCTGCGATGTGTTCCTTAAACCTTGTTTCCAAAGTCCTTTTCGTCTGACCAATGTAGATTTTATTGCAATCTGGACAAGAGATTTTGTAGACTCCGGCTTTCCCTAAGACATTTATTGAATCTTTAGTTGATCCTAACAGTGACTTCAGCTGATTTGTCCTACTGCTGAATACTAAATCTAGGCCAAAACTTCTAAACTTTGAAATCAATGGTTTGGTAATGTTTTTGTCGAAATTCACCGCTACCCGTTTTAAACCCTCAGTTACTGGTGTAAGAGTTGTCGAAATACGCCTTAAATGATCCCTTGTTCTTTTATCGATTACTGCTTGAATTGTTTTTTCTTGATACCCATTAAGTCTAGCGATTTCAAAAATGTGAGCTATTTCTTTTGATTTGCCTGTATCGCTAAGGGGAAGAGTTTGCATCCTGTGAACCATGTGGTGAAAAGCGGCCATTTTGTGTTGATGGGAATGGTTTGAAGTGCTTGGTATTACTCTCTTTGTGTTTGTTGGTTTCCTATAGATTTCGAAATTGAACGAAGACGTTTCCCTGATGATGAGAAGATCTAAGAAGGGGAGTTTGCCGTCTCTCTCTTCTTCGTGAGTAAATTGGTAACGAATGTTTTAAGCTCTTTGCAAACAGCAGCTTAAGCGCCACTCTCCGAATCGAGAGACTGCTGACGCTGATCAAGAGGCCCGGCTGGAGGCTCTCTTCAGGGCGGGTCAATAATGCTCAAACACCGATCCCAATTGACGTTTACGAGGGCCGATTGAATTTGCTTCAATACTACTAAAAACCACATGAAATTTGAAGATAACGAAATGAAAACTATTCAGCAAATAAAAGAAAACTAGTCTATTAAACCCTGTCACCCAAAGTGAAGGCATCAACTCTCCAAATCGAAAAATGAGCGACTAAGCTTTAGAGAAAGTTCGACGACTTTAAAGTGCACTATATTGTTGGGGATTTCAATCTTCTCTTAAAGCTAGGGTGACGTCACAACTATGTACAGGGAGTTCTTCGAGCTCATAAAAAAAACAGACGTTCTGACCTTGATTCGGTGGATCCAGAAGGGCGATGACTTACGGGGTTTCCCACGGCGGACGTCAGCAGGCAGGCCACACAAACATGCAGTGGCTCGGAAAAGCAAATCGGACGAACTGTATCCAACACGTGTTCGAGCAGTGGAAACGTAATACCCGAGGCGCACGCCGAGTCGGACGAGGTATCGCTATCCAGGACACACACCGAGTCGAACCGTTTGGCTGATGTCGACGACAGGCACTCGAACCGACCGAACGGGAAGCTTTCCGATTGTCACAGTTCCAACGACAGCTACTACTGGCGCCACAAGCTATCAAGGTGGTTGACGGATGCCTCGAACGATTAATCGTGGAGCGCTTTGATCGGGCGTCGTTGGGTGGTTGTCGGATCGGTCTCACTCCGGTGAGAAAAGCTTTCGTCCCAGGGTCGAAAGGCGGGTATGCACTACGGATGCGCAATCCTGTGCGAGGTTCGGACCAGCTCACAGGCTTCCAAGCCCCAAACACGCACCTACGTCGAACAGTGGGTTAAATCTGTTCAACATGCGTCAAAATTTAATTAGTGCGCCGTATTCACTTGATTTTTCTTACTTTTGAAATCTTACCCGATTTATGTCGTAGCGGAATTCACAATTAGATTAATCGCTAATACTGAATTAACCTATGACCCTGTTACACAAAATTAACTTTTTGGCTAACAATTCGGAAACTCATTTCACAAATTTACCTTCAGGTACAATCAATTCTCACACAGCGATTAACAATTTTGTTATCCTTTTAAAGGAATTCTACTAGCTTTAACGTTTTGAACTTGATTCACTGGCTTATTACCGTTCACAATTTAATGTTCTGCCAAATCGGGATTTTAGGCGCACTTGCTCAAGTAACGACTTATCGAGATGACGGTCTCCACTTTAATAAAATTCAAAACCCAAACCAGAAATTCTCTCCCTCAAACAAAGCCGATGGCCTTGGAGGCTGAATAATTGGCATTCCATATGCTATTGTTAAAGACCGACAATTTGGGCTACCTAAATCATCCGTGTGAGGAAATCGTGTATTTAATATTTATTTTTCTAGATTCCTCCTTTAGCCCATCTTTTGGTCAAATTCAAATAGCCCCCGAGAACGTTATGAGATCTGAGTGGAACTCACCAAATAATTCACGCGCGAGCTTTTCATCACTCTCTCAACCTGCCGAGAGATGGCGAAAGTTGCTGCAGAAAAAGGTTAAAACTTTTTTAACGAACGAGAAGCTTCATAGCTAATTAAGGGCGGTATTCACCTGTGGTTACAAATTTGATGTCCTTGTGAACGTTGCTTATGGCCTCCAAAGTTTTTGATAAATCTTCCCTTTTGACAATGCTAAAGATGTCATCCACGTACCTATACCAACATTTGGGCAACAAATTCCTATCCTCCAGAGTATTTTCTAGGTTAGCCATGAACTATTCACATAAAAATGGAGAAAGCGGATTGCCCATAGAGCGCCTTTAGTTTGTTTATAGAAATTTCCTCTGAAAATGAAATAATTTTCCTCCATACAAAGACGAGTAAGCTTGAGATATGACCGAACTTTGTTTTTCCAAGTAGAATCCTCACGTTGCTTCAGAAGCCAGTCCTCTAAAAGGCTGATGGCTTCCTTTACTGGTACACTCGGAAAAAGTGCTGTGACATCAAATGAAACCATGACTTCATCTTCCCGAATCTCTCCTGATGCCTGAAGC